TCTCTCATTATTGCTCGTACATCGGCTTCTCGACTCGATATTTTGACGTGATTTTTCACTAAACGCTTAGATTGAAGAGTGAGATTTTGTATTGAGTTTGGATAATTTGATCATTTTTAGTATTTAGATTGAATTCATTTTATCTAATAGGTATAATATGCATGTTACATATTTAGATTGATTTAATATGTATTTAATTTGATCATGATATAATATATTTAACATGTTTTACAATATTTTTAATTTATATTGTCCTATTGGAATGAAACTTAATCACACGGACCATTGATCCAAATCCAATCGACTTAAAGCCTTTCAAATGACCTTTTTAATGTAACTGAAATGGGTCCAAATTGAAATTGTATCAAACTTTAAAAAAATTGTTCAAATTCAACGAAAAATGTACCAACCATTGGGCCCATAAAAAAATTGTCCAACTTGAATTGGACTCAAGTCTAAAGTAATCATCCAACTCAAACCAACCTGAGTTTGGTAGATTTAGATTGAGTTGGGTTTCAACTGTGAATGAGTTGGTTACGGTTTGAATTAGGGAAAATTACACAAAAGCCGGTATTTGAAGATTATTGTGCAAAACTCAGGTGACAACTTTAATTAATCATATATCATGTATAATTTATATATTTTAGTATTAATATTAATATTACAATTAATCAAACTCCCCCAATTCATCCCAATCTCATTTTCAAAATGAAAATATCTCTCTCTCATCTTCTCTTCTCTCCTCTCCCCTCCTCTTCTCTCCTCCCCACACACTCTCTCTCTTTCTTCTCTCTCCGGCGGCCAGTCACCACCATTCGGGTTGGTGATTTCACAGTCAAATATCACCATGGTGAATCCATCCCAACCTCACTCCTACTACCCCCAAACCACAAATGTCTCCACATTTGACATTTCATCTTTGAAGTAAAGGATGGATTTTTTTTTTCCCCATTTTCCTCTTCTCAGCAGAAACGGCATCTAGTGCTTTTTTCTTTCATCATTTTCCTCTTCAACAGGTGGTGATGGTATTTTGTGGAGATTTGGTTTTGTGACTTTGGTCTACAAGCAGAAGAGACCTGGTTTGTGGTATTTTGTGTGTAAAGTGGTGTGTTCAGGGCCTCAGGCAAATGGAGGGGGGTGGCGTGTAGGAGGTGGTGATGGTGGATCTGATTCTGGTAACTGTGGTCTGAAGTACATTTGGGATTGTGGTGGTGACGGTGTGTAAGAGGTGGTGATGGTCAATCACAATTTGTTTATAAGTCATAGATCACAGTATGTAGGTCACAAATCAATATCCACATGTTACATGTCACTATAATTAGGTCACATATCAATGTAGACAAGTCATGTATCAATTAAAATTAATCACATATCAATGCCTATAAGTCACAGATCAGTTTAATTGATCACATATCAATTTACAGAGGCCATAGATCAATTAAATTTGGTCACAGATTAATGTTCATACGTCACAATTCAATATCCACAGGTAACAGGTTACATGTAACTGATATTAGAGTGCATAAGTCACGGGTCATAAATTCAATAGATCAATCACATATCATTAATTTCTTTGACCTCAGTTATTCGAATCAGTCACAAATTCAATTAAGTCACATATCAATTAAAATTGATCATGGATCAATGCCTATAAGTCCTAGACCAATTTAATTGGTCACAGATCAATGTTCATAGGTCATATATCAATTAAAATTGGTCACAAATTAATGTTTATAGGTCACGGATAAATGTTCACAGGTCACAGGTTACATGTAATTGATCACGTATCAAAGCGCATAGGTCACGGGTCTCAAATTCAAGAGATCTGGTCACATGTCATTAATTGCTTTGACCTCAGTTATCCGAACTGGTCACAAATTCAATTAACCGAATTTCGACGGTGAAATTTGAAATTATTTGCTCCGGTAAGCACTCTGCTAATTACACTAGTGGCTGTTTTTCAATGATCAGTTTTAAATCTTACTAACATTGCTAAGTGTTGCTGAAGAAGATGATCACTTGCCAGCGATGCTCAGTTGAAGTTCTCCAATAGTCGTTATATTTCTCCCTTTATCTCCATTATTTGAGTTGACGATGCTTAGTTGTTACTGCGCGACGATTATTTTGTCGCTCAAGAAGTTGTCGACGACGGTAAGAATGTGTGATGACTGGTAAGAGTGGGGTGGGGTGTGGACGGTTGTTTGATGGGGGTGGGTGTGAGTAGATTAATTTAAATTGATAATATTATTATTTAAAATTAAAATATTGAATGAACACCTAACTTTTGAATTTTTAAACTTAATATCTGAAAATTGATTTGGTGTAAATTTAATACCTGACTTATGATTTTTTTTTTCCCTTTGAATTATTGTCAAATCGAACACGTTTGACTGTATTTGAGTTGGACTCAAAACCAATCCAATACAACCCACGCTGAGGCCCAGCCCCAACCATAAATGTGATTGTTAAATGTGCATGATTTCACGTAAATATCTTATCACAATATTATCATCCATTTTGGCCTCTTCTCTTCTCTTGCTCTTGATTGAACTACTTATCCACGACAAACAACCATTTATTTTGATTCAAAGAGTTTTTTCTTCAACCGCCCATTTCAGATTGTATTTTGACAAGGACAAGAATCTATCTCATTTTATTAACTTTAACTAACCTTCTGAACCTTTCAAACTCATTCCGCCCTTGTAAAATTGTAATTCTAATTGTACTCTTAAGAAGTAGAATTTTTTCGTAAGTGACAATGATCACTAAAGCCAGTTCTTTAAACAGCAGAGAAAGATTGCTACGCTACAGAAGCCTGGAAGGACAAAACGATGAAGCCAGCGGATGCATGTTTTTCCTATCAATACGTCAAAATTTTGGACAGATTTGGAACGATATTGGGAATTTTACTATGACAGCAATTGAGATGGGCCGGAATGATCCCCGGAAAATCATGTATGCCATCAAGATGGGATTAGCATTGTCCCTTGTATCTCTCCTCATTTTCTGGAAAGAGCCTTTTGCTGATGCTGCTCAGTATTCAATCTGGGCAGTTCTCACAGTCATTGTTATGTTTGAATTCAGCATAGGTATGCTACATTCGTTAAAGAATTTCTTTTTAGCTGGTCCAGGAGAAATGCGAGATCCTATTTCTCTAAAGAACATGGGATTCTACTTCTGGCAGCAGCTTATGCAGTCTATAAGCTATGCTAATCTTGCTATTTGCTTCTTTCTTGTACCATGGTTTTACCTTAAATATAGGAGCAACCTTTATTAAAGGATTCAACCGCGGATTAGGAACATTTGGTGCTGCAGTACTTGCTTTTTGCTTCGGCGAGTTGGCTATTTTAGCTGGAAAGTTGGAGAAAGTGGTAATTGTCATGAGTATTTTCCTCATGGGTACGCTTCTCTGCAACCACCTAGTCCAAAAGCTTTTAAATCGTTAGAGAGACACATTTATTTATTTAAATTGAGCCCCTGTTGAAAAAAATTTCTTTGAGATTATAAGTTGGTCAAATTTCATTTTTTAACCATGTATTTATTGGATCCACAACTTTTATTCACTTTTTAACAACACATTTTATGGGATGTCACTCAAAGAACTTTGTCAAACAGGGGCTTTGTCTTTAACCGCTTCTACGCACCTAATATCAGTATCCCTATTGAAATTCTACCTCACTATGATTGTTCTTGTTTGGCAGCCTCATTGTCATCATACTTGAAACTCTACCCGACAATGGCAGCTTATGAATATGGATATCGAGTATTTGTATTGACATATTGCATCCTCATGGTGGCTGGAAACAGGACAAAGTCATATACAGAAGCTGCTCTTACTCGGTTAATACTTATTGCACTTGGTGCGGGTGTCTGTTTACTTGTGAACATTTTTATTTACCCGATATGGGCAGGCGAGGATTTGCACCGCTTGGTGGTAAAGAATTTCAAGGACCTTGCAGCAGCTTTGGAAGGTTAGATAAACCTATAACAAAAAAAATTACTTTTCTTCAAGGTTAAATTTAGTAAAAAGATTTTGTATTTTTCCTCTACTCAAAAGAACAAAGTTGTAAGAACTCTGCAGACTGTGTTAATGGCTACTTGCAATGCGTGGAATATGAAAGAATCCCCTCGAAAATCCTCACTTACCAGCCCTCTGATGATCCACTATATAACGGCTACAGATCAGTTGTGGAATCAACAAGTAGAGAGCAAACATTGGTATGCACTAGACTAGATATCAGCTGCATTTGCATAATGCTATCTAGCACCAGTCTAGGTGTCCACACTTAATAGGTGCAATTAAATGTATGTTTTGACTTTGAATTAAATGAAATTGTGTGCTAAATAGCATTACTCTTTACATATACAAAGGATCTTTAGAGACCCTTTTTATGTGTGAGAGGGGTGAGAAAACTCTGTGCTCTTCTTTTTCATTACGGTGAAAACTTAAAATAGCGAGTAGACATAGCTTTTACACTGAGAGTGATGCGGATTGCTCGTTTAATCCATAGCGGGCATTTGTAAGAAATCAAGAATTTTGATTGAGCAGATTGGTTTTGCTATCTGGGAACCTCCTCATGGACGCTATAAAAAGCTTAATTATCCATGGAGAAACTATGTCAAAGTGAGTGGTGCATTGAGGCATTGTGCATTCATGGTCATGGCGCTACATGGATGCCTCCTCTCTGAAATCCAGGTAAATAAAAGTATAGCTTAACAAGAAGGAATTAACTAAAAGTTTAGTTCATTTATGCATATTTTGTTTTCACTACTGACAAATGAAAGAATTGAATATGTAGGCACCACCAGAAAAGAGGCAGGTTTTCCACAGCGAGCTTAAAAGGGTTGGCGCAGAGGGTGCAAAAGTTTTACGCGAACTGGAGAGCAAAATCGAGGCTATGCAAAAGTTGAACTCCGATGACATACTCAAACAAGTTCACGAGGCAGCCCAACATTTGCAGAAGAAAATAGATCAAAAATCATATCTTCTAGTCAAATCAGAAACCTGGGAAATTGGTAATCGGTCTCAAGAAGTAGCAGATAATGAGAATCTTCCCACTGAAAATGATGATCATCGAGAGTTGCATTTAGGGTTCAAATCCCTTAGTGAAACTGTACTTGATCTGAGATCAATGCCAATATTGACATCAAATTTGGACTCAAAAGACTTAACGACTTACACGTTAAGGAAGCAAGTGCCATGGCCTTCGTGTTTTGCCCTTGACGATGAATCTTTGGTTCGAGAGGATGAAATCAAGACATATGAAAGTGCGAGTGCTTTGTCTTTAGCTACGTTTGCGTCCCTTCTGATTGAATTCGTTGCAAGGCTTCAAAATCTAGTCGATTCTTTTGAAGAATTAAGCGAAAAGGCGGAGTTTAAAGAAGTATTAGCCAGATAACAAGCTACATACAAAGAATGTGCTTCATTGTAGATGACCATGTTGGTAATGTGCTTCAGGATCAAGAACTGATTCCTTGACAATCAGTAATTTTACCATATTGTATGTATCAAGTCTAAATAAGCAGTATGATGTGAACATGAAAGATATTGTAATCTAATTTAACTTTGTATCTAATCTACCATATTATATGTATCAAGTCTAAATAAATTTATATATAATATGTTTTTTGGTTATGAAAAGAGATAAAAGAGAACATAATAGAGAGAAATCAATAAATTTGCATGTTGTATTAAGAACGTGTTTGATCCACATTCTTAAAAAACGCATTCTTCCTCAACTCATTTTCAACCACACAATCATCAATAAAATAATATTACATGCAAGTCTAAAATTTTTCCTTATTTTTTAACCACATATTTACCATTACATCACTTGAAAAAATACATTCTTTTCTCCACAATATATATCAAACACAGCCTAAGTCTATGTCTTCAAATAACACCATTTTCATGCGAAATATTTATCAACGTTTGATGACTGTAGTAACATGATGATTCGAAAAATAGCTCTCGTTGATCTCTTTAGGATATTCATACATATTAAGTAATATTTTGAAGCTAAATGTCTGTGTGTTACAGATATTCATTATACAAAGGATATGCCTTGATAAAATCTTATTAGGGAAAACCCTGTGGGAAAAATGGGAAAAAGAGTACATTATTCTTTTAAGTACGATACAAAAGTTGAAGAATCTTCCGATTCTTCTTTGAATGTTTATTTGAATTTTTAATTTCACATTATTATTGATCTAGTAATGGTTCAACTGGTCATGCGAAAAAATCGAATTGAACTTCTTGTTCAATATAAAATATAATTCAATATTTAATTTCGAAATATATGATTAAATATTATATAATCATATAATAATCACTCAAGTAGATAGTCTGATCAATGTCAAAATAACATGAGTTATAAGTTTTCTTTCAGAGTTAAATATTAATTCAAAATAATATATTTTTCGAAACGTGTGATACTTTGAGAGCACGTTTTTTATGATTGCTTCTTCAAAAACAATACGTCAATTTTCTTTTGAAACATTAAAAATTATAATTCATGCTTTTTAAGAACGATAAATTAATATTCTTCTTGAATATTAATAATATAGAAAATTATTTTTCTTTAAAAATTACAACCTAGTATTGAGCTATTTAATTTGTATTTCTTCGGGAACACGATAAGATATATATTATTCGGAATATATGCTACTTAGAGAGCACACTATATTTTATTATTACTTCTTTAAGAGCAGTAGATCAATATTCTCCTGGAATATTGAAAATTACAATTTATGCATTTCAAGAGCAAGCAATATTCTTTTAGAATATTAATTATAATGTTATGCTATTTCAGGAGTAACAACGAACTATTATTTAGAAATATTAGTTATTCAGAGTCATATATTATCTATAGAATTGTACTTCTTCGGGAGCAACAATGAGATACATTATCAAATTATAAAAAAGAACATCTAAAGTTATTTGATCATGTTTAAATATTAATTACCATACAGATATTATATAAATTTATATATATAAATTAATTACTGAACATGCATTAGGTATAAAGATCTCTGTATACAGAATGAAGGTAGGATTAAAGGCCGAATTAAGAAAAGGGTAATTAGCAGATAACGTCCTTACATTTAAATATTATTGTGGAAAACGTTATTATCTTTCATTTTTTGGTATTTTCGCTCTTATTTTCACATTTTATTACACAAATAGTCATTTTCATTCATTTTCTCAATTAAAGCTATGAATTTTGTCTAGAATAAAAAAAAAAAAGGATAATTGCAATCATAGTCCCAATTTTTTTTAAAAAAAATGTGCAAATAAGTCTTAAATAAATTATAAAAATGATAATTAACACATAATGTATATATCTTTCATTATTATTGTGGAAAACGTTCATACCTCTCATTTTTATTTTTATTTTTTACATTTTCACCTTAATTAGATCTTTGATTGAGTAGGTCATCATTTCTATTCATTTTCATTCAATTTCTCAATAAAAATGTATAAAATGATGAATATGCCTTCATATTTAAATAAAAAAAGAAAAATAAAGAAAAATAATTTCAAAAAATTTCTAATTTTTTAATAATTTATTTGGAACTCGTTTGCACTTTTTTTTAATTTTTTTTAATTTCTAATTTCTAATTATGATTGTAATTAATTTTTATTTTTAATTTAAATAGATCGTCATTTCACAACTTTATATTGGGAAATTGAATGAAATTGAATAGAAATAATGGTTCATGCAATCAAATGTCTAATTAAGAGTGAAAATGCTAAAAAAATAAATATAAAGGTAGAGACATTTTTCACAATAATAATGAAAAGTATATTTATTATGTGTTAAATTACCAATTTAATAATTTATTTGGAACTCGTTTGACTTTTAAAAAAAATTGGGACTATGGTCGTAATTAGTTATTTCTTTTTTTATTATTTTATTTAAATGGAAGGATATATTCGTCATTTCACAACTTTTAATTGAGAAAATAGATGAAAATAACATTTTGCGCAATGAAAGATAAAAATAGAGATGAAAATACAAAAAAAGTGAAAGGTAAAAATGCTATGTACTAATTATTTTAAGAAAAAATTCCAAATATGCATGTGAATTCCTCTATTTTTTTCATACGTGTGAATTACAAACAATTGTCGAGCATATTGATTACGGCACGTGAATTAAAATTCAGTTTTAAAGCAAGACTATGTCAGTTACATAGGGATGTCACGAGTCGAAATTCAAAGCTTTGGCCTGTCTCAAGTAAAAATGGTTCTAGCTTTTTTTGACCCGAGTAAAACTGAGCTTTTGCTCGACTAAAAAATCTAGGTTCAACTCGAGCTTTCAGTTCTGGCTAGACCGAGCCAACTCTTGCTTTTTCTATTAATATTATAATGAAAAGAGGCAACATGGCAGCAGGCTCGTGGCTGCCTAAGCAGGCAACTTCTTCTGCCTACAACACACACTCACATATATGCTCAGCCCGAGCTACGAGTCGAGTAGATTAGGACTCTTCTCAGGCCGAGCCACTGATCAACGAATCAAATTGACATCCCTACAATTTCATGGAAATTTAGTTAAAAGTATGAAAAGAAGATATAATTTCAACACGAATACTAACGCACCAGTTTGAAGGCTCACAATTAATTTTAGCAAGCAAGCATCATTCCCGACCATGGGACAATCAATTTCCACCTTCCAACTTGTCAATTTCCCATTTTCTTTCTTCTTCTTCTTCTTCTTTTTTTTTTTTCAAATTTACCATCCAATTAATTCACTTTGATTTTGAGAAGATCGTGTTAATAATGTATTATGAAAAAAAAAAAAAAAAAAAGGAGCAGATAAAAATACTCGTGTATATTATAATGAGAATTGAAACTCCATATTTAAAGGGAATGATCAGGAATACGGTGGTAATAATTNAAAAGTCATTCATAAATATTACTATTTACATCATTTTTAAGTTTTCTAATTTAAAAATATTTTTAATTAAATTTGTACAATCCGCCCGTTTAACCATTGATCCGGACCAATATTTTGGTTCTCCGGTGCTTCGGCTGACCAATGAGCGGGTCGGTCCGCTGACTCTTCGTCATTTTTTACCAAATTCAAATAGGCAAATTGAAAGTTTTGAGCCCTAATTATTTACTTTCATGCTGCGATAAGAATCCAATCTCATTCAGCTCTCTGTGTTACTGCACTACAGACGTAATGGCTCCGACCAACAGCCCATCTGCTTTAGAAAAAGAACAGGTATTTCTTACATGTTAATACACGCATATATCCTTATAATAATTAGGTCGATGCCATATTTTTTTTTTTCATTCTTTTTTTTTTGGTATTTTAATTTTCTTTTTGATAAATCTCTGCGCAGATATTTGGAATGGCAGAGAAAGAGATGGAATACAGAGTGGAATTGTTTAATAAGTAGGAATCCGGGTTTTATGCATTTGGATTTGCTTTTGCATATAAATATTGAATGAATAATATTTGTATATTGCAGTAATTTTGTTTAAATTATGTTTTATTCGTGGGTTTAATCGGATGCAAAAACTTGCTCGACTGGGAATTTCGGCCATTAATTATTTACTCAGCTGATGTTTGTTAATCGACCAGTTTGAGTGCTTGGAAATAGCCTGAATACAATAACTGAAAAAAAGCATGATAACTACCAATTACGTTAGCATTGTATTTATTGTTGACATTGGCAATGTTATCCATCTGCAGTTCATGCATAATTGATTTGATGTTCACTTTGTCCTTATTCAGGCTTACGCACACATGTTTCAACAAATGCATTGAGAACAAGTATGTATTCTTAGTTACTGGTAGCTTAATTACTTCTGTAAGCATGAAACTGAATTACTGCTCTAGAAAATTGCAGTCCAGAGCAGTTTAGAACTTTTTTTTTTCACTTATAGAGAATGATCCATTTTGGTTGATGTTTTTAGCAGAATTTTAACTCGCGCAATTTCAGGTACAAGGAATCCGAGTTAAACATGGGCGAGAACAGTTGCATTGACCGATGTGTTTCAAAATATTGGCAGGTGAATTGATGGTTTTGCTCTCCTTATATATTTAGTTTTGGGGTGTGTATGCGTGCTGTTTTATCAAACCAGCTTCAGGCCTTGCAAATGATATTCATTGAATATATTTATTTTACATCTTGCACAGCTCTATACCTGTTACTGCACAGTCGGATAATGTGGAAATGCTGAGTGCCTTAGTGATTATTTACATATGGTTTTTTGTGCCATTTTGGTTTTGAAATAATGCCACCTCTCTATGAAGATACATGAGTGAAATTTTAAATGGGAATGTAGTAGAGGTAGAGAAAGGAGTATATTTGGGATTCAGGTTACAATTATCACAAGAAAATATGTTGTCAAAGATGATTGACATATATGCCATCTGAACATTAGCTC